TAAATAATCCAAAATATACGTAACGTTTCTTCGAGATGGTGCGATTCTTTTGTGTTCTTTGCAATTAGTGCTCCTCCTTTTTATATCATCCTTTTTTCCTTTTGTTTATTTTTTTTTCGTCTCAAACTCTCTTCAGATTTTGATGCATTTATCAGCTAATAGTTGACGATACATGATGTGTTTATTGCGAAGTTTTCTTGCAGTTTTCGTTCGTTTTAGATATGAAAAAATTTGGCAGGAAATCAGGATTGCAACAAATGCTAATCACGCCTTGTCGGATGTTGTTGAGCGTCAGCTGCTGTCGCTTCACACGCAGGTCGCGAAGAAGCTCGATCTCGTCGACCAGTTGACTCAATTTTTTGTGTATTTTCCGTCGATGTCCGAAGAACTGTCAGACATGATTGCAGAAACGGGTAAATATTCGCATCTTCATCTTCGTTGTCATCTTCAGCTTCTTGTTTTAGTAAATTTTTATAAATTTTACGGCATTCATATGGTTAATATTTGTCGATATTGTCAATCGGTGTTTTCAGCAAAGGTCAGCAGCTTATGTGAGGACGTCGAAGCTCGCCTGGCGTACTTGGAGGTGTTGTGCCATACGCAAGCATGTGAAAACCTGGCCTCAAACGGTCGTTCGAATTTGGAGTCATACAGATACAAAAAAGAGGACGAATTCAATCGGGTCAAAAGTAATTTCCACTGGTATTTCTTGTTAGTTAATTTGTGTGTGTAATTGATATGTGGCAGTAATTTGGAGTCTCATTGTTTTAACATTCGTTGAATATGGTAGATTGTTTTTTTAACTAGGTGTATGCCAGTTTAGAGTATATTTTATGTATAAGTACTTAATTTCTTATCAGGTTACAGCGTCCGCCACACTACAAGAGCAGATATCACCTGCGATGTTATTACGGATCTGCGAAGGATTGTCAACCGTTTATCTGTTTACATAAACACGGCCAGTAGGTTCATTTCACTATTTTGTACATTTCACTGCACGTGGCACTAACTTCAAGATCTACGATTTGGAGGCAGAATCACCGATGAATTGCCTTGCTTACATGGCGATTAATTACCGATGTACTACATTGCAAACATTTGTCGCTTCAGGTGCGATGCTTGCTCTGTTCTCTGAGAAACACTGAAAAGTAGGCTTCATCCACCTTATCAGCAGCTGCTGTTTTCTGGCTTTAGGATCAGTAGCTTCAGCAAGTTCTTCTTAAAATGATTCTAGTATTTTGCTAATTGGGCAGTCTCCAGGGACTGGAATCTAAAACGCCTCAAGGCCGGGTTCTCACAGCCAGTTATGTTTGCAACTTATCAGCCTGTCATGTGGCTTTAGGAACAGTCTGCTTTCGAGTCTCCCTGTTATTCCGATCAGATATCGAAACCTTCACAGTGGTGATATTTAAATGTGGAAAACCAGCGTCTCAGTGGCGAGAGTAACACTCATGATCTTAGTTTAGATTTGCGATGCTGTGCCGGTATGGCGAGACAACTTACTTATGTCAATGTTCTGGAAGACATTCTTGACCAGAGTATGAAATTTAGCCCTTTCTAAGGTCTCTAGTAAGAGATCTGACCAAGAGTATGCTATGCCTGATAAAATAATTGTTTTTTCATTTATGATAATTATACCGCGTTATCCTTTGCGCGGTTTATCTACGAACGCGTTAGAACGTTAGACAGAAGAGTACATCTTGAAGGTATGCTACAGCCCATATCTGTTTGCCAACGAACCCGCTACCCGCTTAGGACAAAATCTTCTTTAAGAGGTCATAGACAGAACCAGTAAGTGCAGAGGAGCGTTACCACTGTTAATGAAATGCCTGTTTTCTGACCGGAGAGGGGCAACAGCCGAATTAAGAAACAGAGCGTTGGCAGCTTAATGCAGCTGAAATCTAATGTACATTTTAAATCTTCGCTCTTCGCCCATAGCAGTAGATAGAAGTAAATGGGAGACTTAAATTATTTGATCTCTTCTCATTTTATGTATTGATTTGTGTTGCGTGTTTGTTCGGCTCATCACCTTGAGCCGTGTTCAGTTACCATTTCTGGTTTGTTAATTCCGATATATTTACAGCCTTACAGGGCTTTTGCAGTAAAGCATGGGTTACCGAATTGTAAAAAGAAATAATTTTCTCAAACGCAGAACTACCTCCACTTTGTTTCTCCTCCATATTACATGAAAATCTTCTGGTCGACGCCTGTCGACATGCGAGAGGCTCGCGGGCAGGAGTAAATTGTTTATGCTCGACCAGTTTGTCATAGAGGTCCAATCGCCTTCTCGTAATGTTATGTACTCATAGTGGAATGAAGTCATTCCACTTGGCCCTGCCATTTGACCGTCATTATTCGTTTAAACAACGCTTTTGTACTCAGTGGGATCGTCGTTCTTGCCCTGTTGAGCAAACTTTGACGAAGAAATTTTTAAAAAAGAAAACCGGCATTTTTCATCCCCCCTGTACTTCCGGTGCAGTGACAGTTCCATAATTACTGTTAAAATTGGACACCTATATAATTTCGGCGTCTGACTTTAACCCTTCGAGATATATTCGCTCTTTTGCACTATTTAACGAGTATGCTTAGTTTAGCTGATCTTGCCTACGAATATATGAAGGCGAGTAAAGTGAAGGAGCGGCGAATTAGCGGCGATCGTTCTGAGAAACAGCGCTGCCTTCAGGAAATGGTAACGCGCGACATCGAGCTGTACAGAATGTCTGGGGTTTTACCCAGTAAGTTTTGTTTTGCGTCCACACGTTTATTTTTTTTACCGCAGAGCCAATGCCCACGTCTTGATGACTGTCATGATGTTTACAATGTTATTCCTTATCCGTCTGTATCTGTTATGGAACATAACAATATCTTTCAACACTGAAGAACAAGAACATGGAAAAAAAGAAACATAAGT